CAGTCAATACAGAGATGTTATAATAAGTAAGCAAGCTTATAATAATTTCGAAAGAAAAATATTCTTGAATTTTGAAAAGTGTTCAGGTAGGTGAACTATTACCCCAGCAACAACAACTTAAAAGGTTTTTGATTTTTACAACAGCAACAGATTTGCTTGCAACAACTACATATGTCAAAGGTGAATAATGCAATCAAAATTCTGTTTTTATTTAGAGTATATTCTATGTTTTTCTATGTTAATAATACTAGTAGCAAAAATAACTCGTTTTGTTGCGCGATTAGCAGTAACATATTCATAACATATAACAACATAATATATGGCAATGTTATCTATTATACGGGATATTAGAATTTCGATTCCGATTTCGATATTTAAAGGCACTACTATTTTTACATGGGTTTAATGTTTTTATAATAAGTGATTTTATAGCAAAAATATAAAATTTTTATGGAATTTAAAAAAATGTGTTATTAAAAATGTGAAAATATTTTAATATATATTTTTTTTTAAATTTGCTTGTAATTGTTATAATTAGTTTTGTTTTAAAGAACTATGTTTTAGTGATAGAAAGCCTTTCGAAATATTTACATGTTTGTGCCGTTAATTTATTTTTCGATTTTACTGTAGACGCAATATTTTAAAACTTTTCAAAGTAATATTTTGGTTACAATAAGTAAACATTACAATATAAATTTTATTTATAAATACAATTTGTTAAGTAAATTCGTAAGATTTTACAGAAATTCAAACAAACAGGAAATTAATTATGAGACTACTTGCTGCTATTAAATAAAAACAACCATTTAAAATTCACAACATTCCACTACATTTGTTATTAGTTCCCATTTTTCATTGATCTCATTCATCAGGATATTATAATGATCAGGATTATAAATATCATTCCCAGCCTAAACGAAAACTCACACAACAGGATCGATGATAGCAGGTGCCAATCTGGTTCACGCATTTGAGTCGTTGCAATGAGTTTTGATATTTTAATTTAATCAACTATTCATTATTTATTATTATTTTTCATTTATTTAAGGCCTCTATGGACCTTAATGGAATTGCGAAACTAGAGGAGCGTGATTTTTGACTTTCATTCGCTTGACATTCATTAAATGGAACATCATCATATGTATAACTTTTTTTATATTTATTCATTATTAACTATAAGTTATACTACATCTAACAATATCGTATCACATATTTGTTACTTATTTGTTATAAAATAATAATTATTCAGAAATAATATTTATAAACTGAAATTTTCTCTGGTGTTCGAACTGTTAAGCAATTAAGGTTAGGTTGCAACATTAGGTGCAATAAAAATAATTAATTAAACTAAATACTTTATTATTATATGTATTTATCGATTTCATTACAATTTTAAATTTTAATAATTTTCAATTAAGTTAGAAGTTAGAAATTAGATTTCAACTTTTCTAGAGAATACGCAATATATTAAAATTGTGTTGCTTAGCATAGTGTCAGCCAACCAAATTTAAATAATTAAAGCTTTACTTAAGAATACGTAATCAATTGGCTTGAAAAGTGACCTTCATCAAACTTGATGTCAAATTCCAAGCGAACATTATGTCCACTTTTACATGTAGCAGCAGGTTTTTAGCTTGGATATTTTATATTATAAATAATTATGTTACAATTCATTTATGCACATGTTATGCAGACACACATCTATATATTTTCATGTGTTTCAGATATACAAATGAGGCCTTGAGTTTTTCCATCATTTCAAATATCATTTCAAATGTTTGTATCATCAGCATTATCAACATTTCTTCACACTTTTATAAAATAATACTATATACATAAAATAAAATATATAATATAATGAAGTTTTGAAATGATAATGGAATGAGAAGTTTTAATGTAGGTAGAGAATAAAATTCTCTTACATATAAATGAGGTGTAGTTAAGGAAATTAACTATAAATGTACAAAACTAATTTATTTAAAATAACAAAGAAAAAATCTATTTATTTTTTATAGTGTAGTAAATATTTTAATCTCAACTAAACCTACTAAAAACAAAAATAAAAACAAAAACAAAAATCTGTTTATAAACGATCAAAACTTAAAGTTCAAAACGTAGTTAATTTTCTATATACTTCATATATTACATATATTAATATCCTATATATTATAATTAATAATATAAAGTAAAGTAAAGTAACTCAAATATTGCTGTGCAATATTTTACTAGATAAAAATGTAGAAAACTTGTTTCAAATCCAATTTTACTAAAATATTGTTAAAACATTTAATTGACAAATTGAAACTACTACAGTATTTCCATAAACATAAATAACAATTAAAATAAGAATAAAAATAAAAGTAAAAATAAAGATTATAAAAAATAAAGATAAAATTGTAAAAAATTAAAAAACTAAAAAAATAAAACAGATTTATTTATATAACGAATAAAGTAAATATATAAACAAAATGGTGGCAAATGTTTGAATGTGTTAATTATTTATAATACAAAAGGTGCGCTACATTTGTACCAAATCGCAAGACATAAAGGCACCATAATAGTATATATATGCATATATATATATACATAAATTTTTAAATACACAAGGCACTATATATATAAATTAAAATATATATTAAAAATAGAATTAAAGTAAATTGTGCAATGGAGAACGGTGAATAGTAGTAAATAGTTTGCAAATATGTATTAATGAATTAAAAATAATATTAAAATTAGTTAAAAATAAATAAATATATCGAAATTAAAAAAAAAAACAAAATATACAGATAAATATATAACAAAATGTAGCAACATTACTTGAGTACCTTAGAAAGCCAGTAAAATGTATCAAAAAAAAAAAAAACAAGTATGAAAGTATATATATAAGTGCGATAGCATTAAATGCATATATTAAAATATACAAATAAATAATTAAATATATATATTTAAACTCCAATTCCTTTTTTCTATTAAAAAATTTAAAAACAAAATTGTTAAACGTCATATTAAAGTTAATTAGCATTAATAATAATTAAAAATTAAAATAAATATTAAAGCGAACATTTTTAATATTTAAAAGAACGATTCATTTAAACGAAAAATATTAAAAAGTTAAAGAAAAAACAATTGAAATTAGAGGAAAAAATATTTTTATTGTTTAAGTAGTAGCACGAGAGGAGAAAGGTGTAGCACAGTTAGAAGTTGACAGTCGTTGCTCCTTTATTTCAATTAAAATTGATTATTATTTTTGAACCGGCCGGAATTGTTTGTAGAGTGAAGAAGAATATCATTAAAATTTTTTTTTTTATTTTTTATTTACTGAATATTTAATATTCTAAAACTTTATATTTAACCAATATTTCGCAAACATTTTTCTAGTAAAAATAAACCAAAATTGCTGGGTACTAACTAATAAAAAACTAAACTTGCTTGATATTTATTTGTTTATTTTAATTATTAATTTAATTTTATTGTTTTATTTAATTTCATTTAAAAATGCAAGAACTTTTTAATGATTACACAATACTTTCTTTCATAATTTATTTCTTTATTAGGCACAGTATTTAGTATATTCCATTTCAAGATTAAAACTCATTTATAGACTTTTCAATAAAAAAGGGAGTAGTTTACGTCAATTAATATATGACAGAGATAGTCTTATCGATTTATTAGTTATGTTAGGTTATTACTGTGAACAAAGATATCATTGGAGGTCTATAGGTCCATCGTGTTCCAATACAAGATTCATAGATTTTTATTTTTGAAAAACCATTTCAAAAATTCAATAAAAATAAGTTTTCCATCACTTATAAATAACCATCCTTGGGCATACGCTCAATACTGTCAAAGCAGGTGTGAAATCTGGAATATTCCTTATCTTCCACGCAGCAAATGTAAGAGCGCTTTAAGGTAATACGTAATCCACTAGTATGTTTTTTGATAGTGATTTATTATTTAAATATAATATCTTATATCAGTTCAACTGACGTTCATAAAACCGTACAAGATTTAAAATAGTGAATGAAATGAGAAGCTAGCCAAGGCTCTTAAAGTTTCAAGATTATTTTTTGGCTTCAATCAGACTAACATCAATGGTCTGATAATATGATAATAATATCATATCTGATAATCTGAAAATAATAAATCCTATACGTCATAGTAAATTGAACATCATAATAACAGAAAGACATATGTAGTTCAGGTTATATGTAATAATATATTTAAGTCATACATATTTTCATTTGGACGATCGACATTTTTATCGGTGTCGTATTGACAATAACCTTAATAAATCGAATGAAATAATAATCATCTGTTTATCACTCCACTAGGCTCTGTCAATACCGAAGGACTGAAGTAAGAAAAAGACTTGTGTTAATTGTCTGTATAACATATATATGATAACGGAGATAAATAGTTGTTAACTGACTGATTCCTTCCTATTATACTCTCAATAAATTTTATAGAATTGTATAGGTTACTATCATAAATCATAAATTTCAGCATTTCAATTGCTAGTAGTGCTTCAAAACAAAAAAAAATATCTGTGATATTGGAAAAACCTACTCCTTTTAATACACGACTCTAAGTACAACAGAGAGGTTAAAAGCTATTACTACAATTCATAAAATTTTTAATTTCCGAATTGAAAGTAAAAGTTTTTAAGTATACCATATATAAACATAGTGCCTAAATATGAAATCTTCCAATACTTTAATAATTATAGAAGAATTATCTCGTAGTGTTTGACTTTAATTGTTATGGTTTCTTTCATCTGTAGTTAAATATTGATTGGATTTGTTTACTTCTAAGATCTCTCTGCATAGTTCGGAGAAATATATTTTTATTTTGTTTTCCTCTTCTACAGTATATGGTAGATAGGAATTTATGTA